TGGAACCAGCTTCACTTAATTATATCTCCCTTCCCAACATCTGACACGCACTTAAGTCTTAAAATTGCAGTGCTGCGTTTCCAGATATCGCCTCAGGCATTTGTTGACAAATTGACTTCCGCTCGGTTGTCATCCTTTACAGCACTTTTGGAGGCGTTTAAGCATTACATAACGGATGACTATGTTGTTGTTGTGCGTGTATTCAGAAATAGAAATACCAATATTGTTTCGTGTTTTGAGTGGATGTACGACAATAGCAGAGGGCAGCAAAACCAATGGGAAGTCGAGAAATCTGAAGAATCTAGTAAGATTAGCGTATCTGCCGGTAACAAACAGTACGCAAAGCACAGATTGTTAAGCGCGTTTCTTCCTAATGAATCGCGGAACCCAACTCGTAAATACTTAATACCTGGAACATGATCGCGCAAGTTTCTAAGTTCTGTACGATCGACTTGCGGTTAATCGACGGTCGACAGTAAAAGTGAACAGGTGCAGGGCTATACTGATATATGGAACACCGCCCCGCGAAGTGCGGCACTCTAATCTGAAGAATTCGGCAGAGTTCTTGCAACTCAGTAGGAAAAAAGCTTCCACCGGAAGCGTCCCAACCTCTGTTGAATAAGTGCCAGATCGCAGGGTTGTATTGTAGGGAATAACATGCCTTTGGTTATGGCAAGGCTTATATTTGAGTCTGTAGAGGACCACCGTAGTCACAAGCTCTCCGGATGGTTGGTTCATGGACATAATGGGCGAACAGTATCAAATCAAGAACTTCTTCACGGACAAATTGGCGGCACAAATGCAAAATGCGAGTGTAGCAGTTGGCTGTCATGTTATCCTAATTCCATATTTACAGAGCTGTCAGAGCTGTACGTGGTATATATCATCCTGGTAACAGACAACCTCCGCAAGCAGCTGACAAATATACCACAGTTTGACCTCCCCAGAAAATGCGTTACAATAGGTTTTCTGTTTATCGTAACACTGTCACTCAAATTATGGCAAGACCAGAAATTACTGCCCCGAAACGACCCACGAATCACATCTCGCGATACACGGGTTGAAGTGCGGGCTGTGCACACACAATTCGGGTTGGTCCATTCTGGCATTGTGACCGGAATCCGTCTGAAAAATGCAAATCGCCCCCTAAAAACCAGTCACATTGGCTTTCGGCACGCTGAGTGGCTAATGCTGAAATATGAGATGCATGCCTCACACCACTGTGACTGAAAGAAAATCGTAGAAAGCGAGATTATCTTTCGAATGCTGTTTATTGAATGACTACGTGCGTTCCCTCGGTTTGAGGAAATTTGCACCACCACTGTGTTGGAGCGAACAAAATTGGGCCTATATACGTTGACCAATTCATAGTTCCTTGTGTAAACACCCAAATACTTCCAAACGTTCGATACCTGTGATGGTTGATGCAAATTTTCTGCCTGGGACGGAAAATATTGCGTTTTGCCCTTCCTGCAATCAAACGAAGAACAGAGAAATCTATATCACATTTGCTGGAAATTGTTTCAGTTAACCTTCCTTTGTAATTTTTGGTGAGATATTTAATTTTGCAGATGCAACCTTACGACTCGCCCAGCCTGTTTTCGCCAACCTGATCAATGAACACCTCGCAAGCAGAAGGACGTACGCTTCCCTCCGGGACTTATATACTACCCAATACGACCAAAAATCTAACTCTTCATCTCCTACAAGTCGCACCTTCAGAATGTCAAGTTCGAGATAAATGAACGCGTGTCTGCCAGTTGATTACCCGTACCATAGTCTTGCGTGTCTGGTGGGTTTGTTCGGCTGCCCGCTGTGGCCGACTTATGCTCCATATTGCTAGTCGATTAGGCATCTTGGAACACTAGTCATCGGTTAGTCGTGTGTTTCACCTGAGTCTTCATTGAAGTATTGCGCAAGTGACCGTAGCCCCTTTCACTTCGGTTTACCCTCAGTGATAGGCGTCATGAAGAGGAGTTCACCATTCACGAATTCACTGGTTGATAGACGCGATTGTGAATTTCACCAAGCTTTCCGGATCAGTTTTGTCCCTGTCGTTCAGCGGCTGCCGTTCAACAGAAGGGCACGAGTAAAAAAGGGTGTGGCACTGCTTTTTAAGTTCACAGTGCGGGGCAGCTAGCTTGCTAGCGCGGAGATTCGCACAAAAGGCGTCCAGAAGTGCTCTGAACTGGGTACTAGATGCAGCACGGACAACCGTCAGAGGAAGGTTAAATCACTCAGCAACTCCCCGAAACGAGCGCAAAATTCGCCTAATAAAAGTTTTCAATCTGAGCTTAAAAATCTTCTTACCATGTGCCTGCCGTGCGTTTGCTGGGTTAAAGGTGAAAAACCTGTTGGTCAAACCTTCTTAAAACAGGGCATAAGTAAGTATGAGGACTGCTCGGAGTCGACAATACACGGAGAAACACCGCGGGACGCGTTCGATAGTCCACGGAATTCAGGCCTGAATCATTTCCTGGTAGCTCATTGGACACTATTCCTGTGTAGGCAGCTTGGATGGCATATTCAAGAAGCGGCCTGAAGTAGGCGCCAAAGAAAAGTTGGAAGTGAAAGTGGGTAATACGTGAGGTTTTTCCGAATCATCGGTGGAACGGCGAATACCTATTGAGCCGCTTTTTTAGAATGTAGTGTTTTGGAGATGTATATCTCTAACGGGAAAAATATCTTGGAGTTGGTCAAATCCGCCATGGAGAATTTATATATTCACATTTCGAAATGGAGATATGTGCTGCTAGTATTCAGAAAATGAACATTTCCTTGTTGATAAAAAGTAGTGCGCTGGAAAAATCTATCTGTGGGAAGGGGGCATTTTGGTCTACAGACTTACGTTCTTGGAAACCACCACGAGGTTTCCTGTTATAATGAATATATCTATAGCGGCGAACACTCGGAACAGACATCCTTGGGATTCGAAGGTGCACGACTTGGTATCCCTCTTGCAGTGATCTGGCCACCCAATAAGTTACTTCAACAGGAGTGCGCGGCCAAGAAATGAAAATAAGAAAACGCTAGATTGAGTATAAAATAATACAAGTCGGATGGAACAGGCTCAGTACAAATTGCTCTCCCTAAAATATTTCGCCGTTGGCCCAGGTCGAGGAATGAATAATAATCCGATCCTGGTTGTCTTGAGGTATTCTTCTGAACCGTTCTCACACATAATAAAATCCGGAGATAGTCTAAAGTTTTTTGTTACCAGAGTTGGCACCTGAAACTCCCCAATTGCCGCGGTAAGCGCGAACGAAATCAGGAGTGAGATTTGAAGCACGTGACCACGTTTGTGTTATGTGAAATTGTAGGAGTGCGTTCTTCCTTAGTCTTTCGTGTTCCAAAAACGTTTATACAATTGGTGCAATACGAAATGTTATAATGGAAGCAAGGGAAATATACAAAGCACCATAGTCCAGTCGAGCGTTGGGTGTAAGCCGAATTTAGCTACCGGAATGACACTGCGTCATGTTTGGCGTCCACAAGTACGGTAATGGCTCTAGAAATTTCAAAAACAATACTACTGCAGAAGCACTTGAAAATTTCTCTCGTTGTGTTGTGATATACACAGGTTTGCGATATCCTAAAACCGAACAGCCTTTTTGGTGACCTTGAGTATCCACTCACTTTATCAAGTCAGCCATACTGAGGATTTGCGAGAAAGCACACTAGACATAGAGATCTTCAGCGATCCTTGGTGATGCAAAACACGCTCGTTATCGAAGAATCGATTCCACTCGGCGAATACTTTATATATTCACATTTCGAAATGGAGATATGTGCTGCTAGTAATCAGAAAATGAACATTTCCTTGTTGATAAAAAGTAGTGCGCTGGAAAAATCTATCTGTGGGAAGGGGGCATTTTGGTCTACAGACTTACGTTCTTGGAAACCACCACGAGGTTTCCTGTTATAATGAATATATCTATAGCGGCGAACACTCGGAACAGACATCCTTGGGATTCGAAGGTGCACGACTTGGTATCCCTCTTGCAGTGATCTGGCCACCCAATAAGTTACTTCAACAGGAGTGCGCGGCCAAGAAATGAAAATAAGAAAACGCTAGATTGAGTATAAAATAATACAAGTCGGATGGAACAGGCTCAGTACAAATTGCTCTCCCTAAAATATTTCGCCGTTGGCCCAGGTCGAGGAATGAATAATAATCCGATCCTGGTTGTCTTGAGGTATTCTTCTGAACCGTTCTCACACATAATAAAATCCGGAGATAGTCTAAAGTTTTTTGTTACCAGAGTTGGCACCTGAAACTCCCCAATTGCCGCGGTAAGCGCGAACGAAATCAGGAGTGAGATTTGAAGCACGTGACCACGTTTGTGTTATGTGAAATTGTAGGAGTGCGTTCTTCCTTAGTCTTTCGTGTTCCAAAAACGTTTATACAATTGGTGCAATACGAAATGTTATAATGGAAGCAAGGGAAATATACAAAGCACCATAGTCCAGTCGAGCGTTGGGTGTAAGCCGAATTTAGCTACCGGAATGACACTGCGTCATGTTTGGCGTCCACAAGTACGGTAATGGCTCTAGAAATTTCAAAAACAATACTACTGCAGAAGCACTTGAAAATTTCTCTCGTTGTGATACACTTTACACAGGTTTGCGATATCCTAAAATCGAACAGCCTTTTTGGTGACCTTGAGTATCCACTCACTTTATCAAGTCAGCCATACTGAGGATTTGCGAGAAAGCACACTAGACATAGAGATCTTCAGCGATCCTTGGTGATGCAAAACACGCTCGTTATCGAAGAATCGATTCCACTCGGCGAATACTAATCCGGCAAGTGTTTGATTTCAAAACACGCGCCGAAACGTATGCGCCCGGACCGCTAAGAGTCGTTTTATAACAGCAACAACCTTGATCAGTTTCTAGTCCTTCGGAACTGTATGTACTCCATCGTCAGGAAATGGATTGCTGGTGTTTTACTGATCTACGGTTTCACTTCGTTGTCAGTTCTGTTTGCTCGAGAAATGGGACGAAAGAAGAGGAAGCAGCTTAAGCCTTGGTGCTGGTGAGTTGTTCTCCTCGTTAGGTAATCTCTCTTAAGGTACTGCAACCGGGAGTTTGATGATGAAAAAATACTTATTCAACATCAAAAAGCGAAGCATTTTAAATGTCCTTTCTGCCACCGGAAACTGTTTACCGGACCAGGACTTTCAATCCATTGTAACCAGGTGCACAAAGAGAAACTGGATAAAATTCCAAATGCCTTACCAAATCGAACAAGTACAGTGATAGATATCTACGGAATGGTTGGCATCCCGGAGGTCGACCTCATCGAACATGAGCGGCAGAAATTGGGGATAGAAGGTGAGCCTCGTGGTTTGCGTGGTACTAATATGTTAGACGAGGAACCTCCGGAGAAGATGAGCAAGGAGGATGAAGGTCCTTCGTTCTACCCCCCGTTACCACCGGCATTGCCCTTCCTCCCAGGATTTGCTCCCCCAATGGCAGGATACCCTCCAATAGGAAGTAGGTTTCTCACGTTCCTCAGCGTCTCACCTTTCAGTTTTACCAGCGGTTCATATGCATCCGCCAGCAAGGTAAGTGGCGTGTTATGCTTAATCAGCTTGTAGTACGTTGCAAATACCACCTCCCCCGCCTCCCCCTCCACCGTCGGCCCCAGCCCCTCCTCCCCCAGTACCGAGCTCTGTCGCTGATCAAGTATGTTGGTCTTTGTGAAACCTCATGTCCTTAGTCACCTACAGTTACTCCAAAGGCAACCTTCCCCGCTTATTCTTCGCCTGGTAACGCAGTGAAGACCCAGGTACCCAAGGTACCTAAACCAACTTCTGGGGTTAATGGAGTTACTGTGGAACTTATCCACCCGAGTGACGATCTGTCTTTGGTAAGTTACCAGTTTTTTGGTTCACCTCTTGCAGGAAGAACTTCGCGCTGAAGTCGGTCGGTACAAGCGCTTGCTGGAGGCAGCGTGTGCCCCCCCGCCACCACCCGTGTGTGTTCCCGCGCAGATGCCCTTGACGGGAGCCGTTGCACCGGTTGGTCTGGCGCCTCCCATGGTCGTGCCGCATACTACACCAATGTTGTATCCACCAGCACCTCCCCACTTGCTCCCACAGATGCAGATGGGTGGCGCCCCGGGGTTTGTGCCACCTGCGGGTAAGTTCGCTTTTCTTCGTGCGGTTCAACAGCGCATACCATCATCTGGTCGCCATTGCACTTATCTGTTACCAGCTGGGTTGTCCGCAGGTTCTACGGTAATTATCAGATGAGTCAAAAGTTTCTGGTACCTTGGTCTTATGAGCGGAGTAGCTCTGTTGATTCCCGAATTGCCTCCAAATTTGAAGGAGTGAAGGAACTTGGGGGTTGAGATTGTCAGGTCTTTCGCACCTGGCTCTCGGAAGGCAAGAGAGATTTCTGTCGGGTTTGAGTTTATGGGCCACATCTCTATACCGTCATATCTCCTAATGGCGTGCGTATAGGTTCTCCACGACTATAGTGTCATTTGACTTCAAGTGTGCGTTTACCTGTGTCGTTATTTGTTAGGACGTTTGCGTGGCGGAGTGTGTCCCAGAAGTTCGTCAATATCGCGAATGCTTATTGGGAGCTCTTTGAAAGCTTTCATACAAACAGGTTGTCCACTGTTCCCGTATTAGTTTAGTTTCGTAATCGATGAGGCTAGAATTTTATCTCCAAAGTCTTCAGATATATGGTGAAGACCTTGTCTACCTGAAATGCGCAGACATTGTTTTTCGTTTTTGGAGCAAGAAGTCCAAGCAAAACTAAAACGCTGGCCGGTCTCGTCCATTCTCCCATCCTTTGCTTCGCATCCACGTCCCAATGTTGAGTTCAGTGTTTGGATATTCCTCTAAGTATTCGAGAGGTGATAGTGGAGTTGTGGGCACTATGACTTTTGTAATTTGCGTTGGTTCTGACGGTAGTATGACATGAAGGAAACTCAATAATCTCAAGGACCGGAATTGCTTTTGCCAGCTCTCTGTAGATACGCTATCAAAAAGGCATATTCACTTTCAAAGGACGCGTATATCAGACTACACTGCTTACTATATTATTGTATGGCTGACATCTGGCGGAGGATCTAGACATTTCGGAACTGAAGCTTCCGTCCGTTGGATGCAAAGTATTTCAAATGTTAGATTTAAGTTTAAATTGTACGTTAGCCCTAGGTTCCCTTGCCCGCTCAATTTTTTCCATTATAAGGCTTTATTCAAATTGACGTGGTTCTGCAGCAGTGAACCACGGGTGTTCTCGTCCGGTGTTGGTGTCATTGATGGTGTTGATATTAATGGCGAAGTAATACAACGGAAGGCTAAGATCTACACTTCTTTGGTGTGCGAAATAGCACGACACAGTGTTTGAAATAATAAGTTGCATGGATGACATTTGCTGAGCCTTGAATTTGGCGGCTAAACTTGATCAGACTTCTTTGGGTGCGAAATAGCACGACACAGTGTTTGAAATAATAAGTTGCATGGATGACATTTGCTGAGCCTTGAATTTGGCGGCTAAACTTGATCAGCTCGGTCCTCCGACTCATTTTCGAGCGCCAGGCTGTGATGGTTGACAGCAGATGTGGTACCTGGAACCTTCAGCTTTCAGTGTACCTGTCTTGTTCGCCCCAACGGTTTTGGAAGCAGTAAGTGCGCAACTCTTCCCAGTATCGTGGGTTTACTCTGGACCGTTGAGCGCTTTCCAAATTTCGAAAAGCATACTGGCTAAATGCAACATTCAACGGCCTCAAAGCCAGTGAGTCATGTGAAAAACCAACTGGTTATCTGGATGCACGTACCCTTAGTTCTTTCGTGATTATTGCAGTGGAATTGTGTCTGTGGAGAAAGTAGTCTCTCTCCGTAATAAATGACACCTTGCACTCATTTTTCCGTTACGACGACTTCATGATTCGTCTGCGGACATGGCCCTTGGTCATAGGTAAGCAGCACTATCCGGAATCCTATGGGATACTTGCTGTTTGCCGCTTAGAAAACCGCCTTTATCTGTCACTGGAGCCAGCAGCTTACTTGGACACGGATCTCCAAACGCTTCTGCGACTGCATTGACACTACCAACCTGGGGAGTTCGATAATTCAGATGACGTGACATAGTAGGTACGTGCCAGAAAGGCCAGGCTCACTCTAATTTCATCCCTTGTGGCTTGTGATCGACATACAACGTAGTTTAATGGATCGTTTTGTAATTTGATGGGTCCGCGAGTTTTTGGTCAGGATGCCGTTCAATATTTGATGACTGGAACCTGGAAACCATAGTCCAATTTGGTTGCGGTTAACAAATTCAGGACGAGGTAATCCGGAGTCGGGTTTCCAACTGTAGCGCATCCCTCTACTGAGGAGAGCATACAATGAGTAGTACGGTGACTTAGTGCTGCGTAATATCGATATCTTCGGCTTTATATGCCCAGCTGAGTGGCGCGAAGAGGACGGACAAAGTGGTTTGGTAAAGTGTCGAAGTAATTTGGTGCGCCTGACATCGCGTGAATTTGCGCTTACTGCTTACAGCCATTCATCGTGAATTGCACCAGTTGTTGCTTTAGAAACATGAAACGCTCCGCTGTTTCAGAGGCGGACAGCACAAGGATAAGTAAGTTTAATAAAATGTGAAATGTGCAGCCTCAGCTCAATGGGACCCAGTGACTTACTATCAGAAGTGTCATGGCCTGGACCCAATCTCGGCGTCTCGACTGCTCCGGCTGCTTCGACAACCCCTGTGATTCCTTCGAGTGGCACGGCTAAACTATCGTTTTCATTTGTGATCACCGAATGGAGAAAATCAGCTGCAGTGAAAATGCTTACACCGGCTTTCACTTAACCAACTTTGTGAGATTCATTGTTTTTGACGTGTTATGCATTTAACTGTACTCTGACCTTGTATAGCTTATCAATTATTGCTTTCTCAAGCTGTTTCGCATTTGTCGGGTGATATTCTGTTTTTCTTTCTAGCTTTCGGCGTCCCAAGTGTCCCACCCACACCTTCGGCTCTCCCACCGTGGCCGGGAATGCCACCGTTACGCTTTTGACGCAAGTCAGTAGCTCGTATACCTATGCGAACTTGTCTTTTGATCATGTTGTACATTATAATTCCTTAATGTGGAATTACCACAGTTCAACCTGCTTTCCTTCCCTTTTCTTAAGTGTCCGGGAATGCATTATAGGACAAGCTTCCATGCAAGTGCTTATTGGTAGGTCCCGTTCACTGATTCTTATTCAGTGCTACTCCTGAACGCTGAATTCGTTGCCTATCACAAGGCAGATGGAGTAAAAGGTGAGCGGTATTCCATCACGCTAGGGTTACAACTTGCTTGACGGTGGTTCCCACGGTACGTTGTCTGCACCTGGTACTTTTTATGTTTCTCCCTGTAGCTCCGCCCATCGAAGTATGTGGCTTGAGCAGTTCTTTCGCAGTACTGCGCTACGCAGGCTAAATCATAGGTGCTAGGGTAAGTCTGTCTGCTGTTCACGGGGTAAGTTGACCATCTTGTTGGTTTTCGTGTAGGCCAGGTCAGTAGCACCACCACCCACCACGGTTTTATCCTAACAGTCATACGTGACGGAAGGTTCCGTTGGTGAAAATCGGCCAGTAGAATCCTTAATCCATCGTTTTCGACACTAACGCTAATGCTGAACACCGGTCATTCACTATTCTCTGCGTCGGCCGCTTGTTGTATGGGTCTTGTATTTCTGCCGCGGTCTTAGGCTATGAACGAAGTTGAAGTGGGATTTGAACGTGCGGATTTCAGTAAACAGCCAGCGTCCACTTAATTCCGGTAGGTTCAGGTTTGTTCTAGTGGCCGAGTCAACAGTGTGACGCCTTCAACGTTGCTTTGTTGTCTTTTGGAATTCTGGATGAATTCACGTGTATTAGTGAACCACAAATTCTGATGTACTAGTTTAAACTGTAATGAGTACTGGGAAAAGGACGCCTATTCCTCATGATTTAATGACCGTTTTTGGCTCCGAAATGCTTTCATCCACTTCGCACGACATGTTTTCACCAACTTTGTAGTTCGATCGATACGGTTTTCTTTGGTTTGAGTAGCGGAAAGATATGCAGTAGCTGAGTGGCACATCGCGGATGCGTTCACGAAGGTTGACTTTTGCCAAAGAACGTTGAGTCGAATACAAAGTTGGCTAATATTGGAACAAGTAGCGCTGGGTGTTCTTTAGTTCAGTTTACCAGTCATCCGCCCTGGCGCAGCTGCGGGGAGTTTCAAAACAGCTGAAGCTTCCTTTTGTGTATATATTAAGAGGTTAACCAAGCCTTCTTGGGCCCCACCAAGAAACTTGTTTGAAAGAGTGCAAACGAAGTAGTTGGGATATAAAATGATTGGTTGTGCATGGGTGAGGCACGGTCCCAACACATTACGTTCCCTTATCATCACCCTATCGCGGACCGGTTGCGCCTATTTATACTACGCTTCACCTTTTGAGCTAATTCCCTCGATTGCTTTAAACTATCCAATATTTTGCGGTGATTGACGACCAGGGGTGGATCGTTCCCTTATACCCTATCGCGGACCGGTTGCGCCTACATCGCTCAGCTCTTGCCCACTCTGATACCGAGAGGCATAGTATCAAAGCACTAACCGGTGAAATGAACCAAGTTGAGCAGTACTGCCTCCCAGGTTGAGCACGGGGGTACTCTACTCATCAATGGTTGTTGGCCTCAGATGTGCTTCAGCCATACAATCGGTAGCGATTTAAATTGAATGCTGCCGCCTTCACTGCGCAGTCGCCCTGTTTCCCCTTCCCTGAGATAACCAGATGGATTCAATATAAACCAACATCCTATTGCCTCCGCGTTCCACCGTATCCCTTTGACTGGAACCATAGCAGCTGGGACCAAAATACTCCTGGTACATGGTTTACACGGGACTGATTCGATTCTTACGATGATTCCTCCCCCGCCAGAGTTATGGATGCGTGTTCCTGCCGTCCATTTTGGTGACTGCAGTGTCATGTTTGCCGCTCCCGTACTGGAAGTTCCTTTCTGGCCATAATATCATTGTTTCTAAAATATCTGGGCTTGTCCTGTAGAACTTAATTTCTCGGAACAGTGCAATTCAAAGGTACGTACCCCCCCCCCACCAAGCCGTACACCAGCGCACTAGTGTAGGGCGGTCTACAGTGAGTATTCCAACATAGCTAATTCTGGTCCGCTCTGGTGGTGTAACGATCATACTTTCTAACAAGCTTTCAGCGCACCGCTTTTTGTGCAAAGAGAGGTGAACCAGCGGATTAAGACTTTCACAAGTGGTTCAATCAGGAGATATTGACGTCAAGAACACTGCTCATGGTGACTTCCTCGTTGTTCAGCATCATCAACGTTGGGCACCTAGGATCTCGGTCTCAGGGTGGTCGCTTGCTGGCAGGGGTGTGGCGGTACCAGAAAGTTGGAGAACTGGAGAGAAGTAGTTTGGGAGGGCACAGAGCTGTTGCAGATAATCTTCAAAACCTAACTTAGAATGCGTAGTGATTTGGAAACCCCGTACATAATGAAAACTGACCTCTGGGTCGTTGGACGGCCTATTTTTGAACGGTTTGTTTGGTTGTGTAACTTTGATTGGAGTCTAGAGTCCCACAAGTTTTAAACAGTAATGCATCTTTCTGCTTTGAAGCGCCGCCATCTGGTCAGATGAGCTTCCGCTAGTTTTTTTTAATCGATGGGAATAGCTGTGGCACGCGTTGATCAGGTTGCTCTTACGTTGGAAAGAAAGGTGTGTTGCAGAAAATCGAGACCAATGGGCAGTTGTCCTCATTTTCGTAAAAGGTTTCAAATTGACCGTCTTCTCTTTGGAAGGTGTACTCACGCATCTCATAGGGTAGTTTTAGTTTCCCCGTGTGCCGCAACACATCCTCGACCCGTGCTACGCAAGTTCGAGAGCACAAGACAAGATTTCAACCTGGTGGGTTTAGTCGCCTCTAAATTACCTCATCCGTTTGAGCGGCGCCTGAAGTATCGCGGACAAACAGTCGCGATTTTCCTCGACTCTGAATAGCTTGGCTCTAAATACTCTTGATCAGAGGTGAATATCATTCAAGTTCGTAGACATTGATGTCCCGTATAACCATACCTCTGGCCCATTTAGGTTATAAAAGGTTTCCGAATGCTTCTATACAGGTAAAAGAGTTCGTTGATTTTGTTCACTTTCGCCGTCAATATCATCATGGAGTGCATGCCTCAAAGATATATGAGTATAATTATCGAAATCGTCCAAAAATTGTCCACATATGCGGACGAATCTGCCTTTGGCGGTCATTTGTGCGGAGTATCGGTAGTGGTTCGGCATACATTTTGTACCTTCAAAATGCGAATTCGTACTTCAAGATTTCCCATCGTTCCCTATCGTCCTTCAGAATGAGGAACTTGAGTTGGTTCACATGAGTCGTGATTGTGTAGTAACTCATGAGACTGAGACGCAGCAACGTCCACCAACTCGCGTTCTCTATGACACCACAAACGGATCTCACTGATTCTAAAGGACCACGTATGTAAGGTAACTGCAATTTATGGTTGTGACACTTGCCTCTTCAAATTTTCGATCGCCCGTATCCGTACCAAGATATAGCCGGCTACAGCGAGTACGCGACTAATCGCACAAGTGGTTGATGATATAAAGATAGTAATCGTTCAACCGTAACATCCTTTTGGTGCCTAACTGCCATGCGACCTGAAGGAAGCACGAGGGCTGGGATTACCAGGTTGCCCAAGCCTTGACAGCAGAAGCCGACAGAAAGAGGTCGGTTCGAACCGCGGACTTTTCCGTCAGTAAATTCGCGCTCATCCGCATGCCTGGGTTTCGTCATTCTGGTGGCATTTTGAGCCTCAGAAACATAGAGGAGAGTTTCTTTCTAGTTTGCTTTCTGAAACTGCTCTCTGAATCCATTAAAGTGCACTGGTCTTCGGGGAGATATTTTGCTGATGTTACGGCAGCGAAGCATCGGTGTTGAACAGTGATTTCATACTGTTGATGACGATTAGCTGATGCTACATGTCCTGTAGTGCGCAATCGTTTACTTGCGTTTTGGTATGTATTGCTCTCTTTTAGTGGAATGGGTTCGCTCCATTTATGTCAATAACTGAAACAACCGAGGAACAGCGGCCTATGATGAGTTGCCTCACGTATTCATGTGATTTCTACTGTAATGGGTTGTTTGATGTGACTTTGTTTCCGATATGGCTACATTCGCTGTCGTCACCGCTGCTGGCTCCATTTTCCTCATCTCGTTTCTAGTAATATCATTTGTTACCAACCTTTTCATCCCTGCCCAGCGCACAATTTGACATCTTCAGTCAGCGCGGGCCTAGCAGTTAAATTCCAGACTGAGTGAAATAGTTTTATCCTTGTACACAATTGGCATATTTTGTTTGTATGTTTTCCTGTTCGGGATGAGCCATATCAGGTGGGTAACTTGCATGAATAACGGTGAGTGGACATTCTCAACAAGTGAAATTTGTACCTTTGAATCGTTGCATCATTTGTTCTCAATAAAGTCCTTGCTGTTCGTTACTCTTTGTAATTCGGCGATTAGTGGGGTGACGCGTCGAATGAAGTTGCCAATTCGGTACTCGGTGGATGCTTTGTGTCGCGGATTAGTTGTGCATACCGGTAATCATGTACTCCATCAGGTGAGCGAACAGAATTCTCGTGACCGGTTTTCTCCCTAATCACGCGCATGGTCGCGTCTGATCGCGTACGGTGGGTAGTAGACGTGCAGGATTTTCACAGGTAGTTTGTGGGTTCACAGGAGGTGGTGCCGTACGAACAGTTCATCTTCAGTTGTATGTGATTGCCAGTAGAAAAACGCTAACGTTTTTCAAGACCATCAGGGGTGGATCGTCTTCAACGGACAACAGAGCTGTGAAACGCGGTCGGAGTTTTAAAATTCATTTCGGCGGTTCTGGCCCAGGACGAGTGGAACGTAGGACGTGAGCTCACTGAGGACAGTCGGAAAGTCAACTTTTCGTCCCACGGCTTCTTACTTAGATTATGAGGTGTCTGTAGCACGAGACCGGTCAAATTAGAAGCCTGCTGAGAATCCTGGTCGACTTCATTGCCCTCTTTCACGGTACTCAGTTCAGCCTAACTTGCGAATGCCCAATCCATCCGGGCTTTCTGAGTGAGGAACTTGTTAAGTGATTTTGGGCATGAGGTCTGCGTACGGCGTGAGAATCGTCATTTAAGGTCTCGTTATCGTGAGGACACAGGAGTGTTCCTAGGAAGTGTTTGGAATGTTTATGGAGGCCGCTTGTCCTCACATGATCCCGTGTTTATAGATAGCTGCGCTAGGTTGCGACTACCCCTTGATGCCACTCAAGAGTGACATGATTGGATGGTTCCAGATGGCAGGCGACTCGGTTCCAACAGCAGCTTCCGGTTGGCTACCTGGTCTTGTGTTTAACTGTAGGTGCGCTGGACCGCAAGCCTGTGTCTGATTTAACGTTAGGTATTCATATGGACGCATCAGATGGAAGGGATGAAGGGAGCGTGGTCACCGGACGCGCTTTATAGCGCTGTTGGGAGTACCTTAGCTTCAGTCGAACAAACTGATCAGATCAGCTACGGGGTAGCACGTGTGCTATGCTAAGGCAGCTGCACTACTACCAGCCTCTTCTGGAAGTGGTACTTCGTTTGCCTGGTGATCTAATATCGAGGGGTAGATTCCTTCTCGCAGGGGCCCTTTACCAAACTAGACGAGGGAGTGGTCAGCTGATGGCAGGGCCACGGGTTATGGTAGCCGTAAGAAAACAACTCAGCAAAAATGTCGATCAGCAAACCAGGCAACAGGCCACTTACTCTTGGGGTCCTTTTCGTCCAAGTGGTTCGTTTGCTATATTCCTTGGCCATGTTCTGTCGTCTCCTAAACTGACGCCATCATCGGTTAATTTGTCCCACTGCTGTGGAAATAAGGTCTTCCATGTAGGACCTATTCGCGATCTTATGCGCAAGGTCATTTCGTGTTCCATGTTTAAATGCTGAAGCAATGTCCAGACAAGACAAATTGTCTTGCTTTTAAAGACACGCTCCATGTCTCCGGTAATGAACATCCTAAGCTGAGCGCATTTTGTTAGCTGCTCTGAGATTGATCGACCGCTGAAGCTACCGTCAAATTCAGGCAAGGCTAAAACGTCCCAGTAAGCGTGCCTATATTCATGGGTTTGGCGATACTGCGTTACTTCAAGGAAGGGGCCCTAAAAAGTAAACGTCCCAGAACGTTTGGCGGTGCCCGGTGCTCATCATCCAATACGGTCGAAATATTGTTAAAACCCAACAGGGGACCAGTATGAATCGAACACGTCTGCTATTCGCGGAGGCCCCGTGATTGGGACATTCCCGCAGGTCCAAACTCTTGAATCGTTGGCTTCCAGAATAGTTCTCCAAGAAAACTATACCGTCCATTGGCTTACGGGTGGTAGGGAGACTAGGAGCAGTAGTGGATGCTCCCAACCGACAACGCAGGGCGACTAATCGGGTTCTCGCCATCAACTGTTTTTGGCCAGCACATAGTAGTAGTAATTTTGCCTTAATTGACTTGATCATGTTAGTCTGAATCGCTTTGATCTGGTCTGAATAGCTGCAAGAACAGTTAGCATTCGTCGTTTTTCTAGTAGTCACTCCGTTATCTCAATTGGAAACCGTGATCTCAAAAAATCAGCGGGATTTACCGTGCGGGCAAACCAACAAGTGGCATTTGAAATTTGCTTATGGAAACCCCATAAACTAAATGCAGCTACAACCACAGTACGACGAGTACGCGGTTATTACAGCTGACAATGATGATGAGGAACTGTATATCAGATCATCGTAATGCTAACTTTTATTTCACCACCAACTTGTACGGTGGACTGGTTAACCACCCGTAATTATATCATGGCCCAGCTGTGGCACCTGTCTCTGACGATTCCGAATTGGAATCACCTGGTACGTGCTGTGGATGTGAACCACACGGGAACAGTGTACGGCACCGACACAAAGGATACGGATTAGACATGTATGCCGGAGAAGGCACAGGTGTTTTTGGATGCTGACCAAAGTCATTCCGTCCTTCGGGGTACACTTTACACCCACGTCATGCAGTCACTGAACGCGACACTTAAAATCCAAGGACAGGTATTGGAAGTTGTGACTGACATTGAGTGCGCGGATCTGCAAGGCTCGGGCCGCGTTACTAATTTGACAGGTATTGGAAGTTGTGACATGAGTTGAGTGCGCGGATCTGCAAGGCTCGGGCCGCGTTACTAATTTGAGACACCTATGGCGTCAGAGTGGTGTATCTCTGAATCCAAAGTCCTATGGTCAATGATAAATGAGATCCTTCTAGATTACTAAACCCTGAATGCCACCTCGAGCTTTTCGGAGTAACTCAACACCACAAAGTAAAGCTAAGCTAAGCTAAAAAAAAAAAGACTTGGTGATCAGCCTAGAAAGAAATAACGACTCATAGTAGTGAATTATAGGATTCCTTATTGCATTTCTGACATTTGAAACAAGGTTATTGTGGTTACGGAATAGTTCTCGCACAACGTCAACTCCAACAGCTGGGGTAGGAGCAAAAACTTTCGGCAGGGCTGGGAAGTCTCCCGAGGAACGTAAACGACAACTCAAAAACTCTTCTTCCACGGGATGCAACTGACTGGGCACGATTAAACTATGTAGCGGTCCGCCCAAGGCGGATGTTATTGGTGTTTGCCTTCCGGTATTTGATTCCGCCGGATGCCGTCGACCCATCTCCTTTAGAGTAGAAACTGCAATGACTTGGTCTTTTGAGCCGATACGAGCCAAACCGATTGCCAAACAATCAGACGATAGCCCGATATCACCTGGAGAGCGGCGCTCAATAACCTGCAATAGCTGATAGGCTGCATGTCCACAGGACATATATCTCGGAGGTTCGTAAACTTTTCGTTCTCGAAGTATGTTTTCAGCCGACCTCTCTTTGACCTGAAAAGAGTCGAGAGGGGAGACTAAATAAATACATGGTACATTAATAGACGGTGATGAAAGTGATATCAGAAGATGATAAACAGAGCGTAACAGTTTCGTCATGCCTCTTAGATGATATAATTCCCGTTTAATCAGGGCCAAGGGTTAGGCTGAGTCGATACAGCGTTTACTCCATTTTCAGAATGAAAAAAATCGTTCACGTGTAACATTTTCGGCGCCTAGCTGCCATGCCACCAGAAGGAGACCTGGGATACTGCCAGGTTGCCCAAGTCTTGACAGGGGAAATCGAGATGCATAGGCCGGGTTCGAACCTACCGGTCAGTAAACTCGCGCTCTAACTACTGAGCCACATCGCCTCCCAGAATAGGAGGGGACGATTCGGTTACAAGCTAGGAATGGTGCTGATAGGTTCAGTATGAACGACATTTGGATGTAGCACCTCCTAAGGGGCCGCAAACAGACGTGACCTTGGGTAGAGAGGCATTGGGAACATAATTAACCAACGTCCCCACCAGTATCCCCCAATAATGATCACGCAAACAGTTGAAGCCTGTTGTCTTGAGCTCAGTGGGCGTTTGTCAATTTCGCTAGGCGGGCAAAAATAACTTTCCTCGGTCGGACACTACCTTTCGTCGTTGTCCCACCTTAAAAAAGTTCCACTATGTTTGATTAGATACTGTCTGCCTTAAGGGAGTGGACGCACTGAAACATTTGAGTTTCTTAGTAGTGAACGAGACAAAGCAGACAGCGCCGATAACCCCGACCAAGAAATACCGCAAGTTCAATCGACCCAACAAGCGAACTTAGAAGACGTAATTTAAGGAATACTGATAGTTTAGGTGTCAAGGTGAGAGGTCACTAGGATGTCAGCTAATCAGAACACTGCAGCTGCCGATGAAAAAAGGTGCTTAAGCTTCTACTAAGAAAACTACATCCGAGTCCCACTTTCGATCCGTGCGACGCAGAGTGTATGCGATCCTAAAAGTAAGTTGTCGTATGGATCTGTTCTGCTTCAGTTGCAGGATGGAGTCCAGAAATCCACTTCGGACCTCATAATTGGTCATGACAGAAGAACATAACGGCGAAATAAGCGTGTTGATAAAAAATAATCAGGATGTGTAGGCAATAAAACAAAGACAAAATATATCGAGAATTAGAGGCAGAAGAGCAAGTAAGTTACCAATGGGATGAAACTTGCCTTAATGTCTAACAAACATAACGTGTGAAGCCCAGCAGAAAAGTTCCACAGTAACTTGTCGTAAAAGCTATCTGGCGTGCCAAGCTCGTCCCAAAACGGTATTGAAACGGTTGCTCCGAAATTGTACAACTGTAGACCACAACAGCCAACAGCAGTCATGATAGATGTGTTATGAATTATTTTGAACTGAATACCGGAATCGACTGCACGGAGGACGAGATCTAAAGGCTGGCTGAAGCACGTTCATTTACCACCAACCTGTATGTGTCGTGGCACTTAGTGGATCCCCAATGACGATGAAGACAACGTCATGGTTTTTTGCTTTCTGAATGATTTCATCAGTCTCTTCCACGAGTTCTCGATCGGCCGATTTGACATCTTTCCCCGTAAGCTCCTTTAGTGCCTCCACAAATCCTGGCATGATGGATGTATACGCGTCCAAGTAGAGAAAGTTCGCCTGTTTGATGGCTTTCAGGCCATTGCAGGTCAAATCATCGATTGACGCGAGACCCGCACCAACGAAAGTTAACATAGTCAAGCAGTGTTGTTTGCTGCGGAGCAGAAAGACAGCGAAGTTATGCTCAAATTAGATGCGATAACCGAAATATGGGAACTTAGTAAGTCACTTGCCCGACTTTAAGGGGACCGGCTGCTGTAAGAAAATAAGTTTTCGGAGGATGCCCCGTGACTGTATCTTGAGAGCGGCGGGGGAAACCCCCGGAGCCGCTGAACAGGGTTACTTGTGGGGACCTGGATGACAATATTCACCCAATGGTTCAGATCTGTTATGACATGCTTCCCGGTGAGCCCGAATCCCTCACCTACCCTCAAATATCTTGACGTGTCAAAAAGTACACCGGAGAAAGGGTGCCGTCAGTTAGTCACAGATGAGAGCAAAACATCCAAGCAGTTGTCCATTTTTATCGGTAGCTTTCCAGGGTTTCAAACAGAAAACGGCAGAATGAGAAAAACAGATCAGAAGAACCAATCGATGGGTGTTATTGAGGAAGTATTCGTCGGTTGAGAATACGTACTTTTTCCAGGGATCGATCAGACGACATACGTTGATTGTATTCGCTACTGGTGTGCGCCGAGGACCGGGCAGTCGGAGATGACACAAAGGGACATGAATGTCACCGATGGCTCAGACACACCATTTCTTTGGTCTGTGCTTCATTACGGATCTTGGTCTTTATGCAGGTTTCTTGGGAACAGGCATTCAACTGTAAAGCATGCCTGATGGTGCAACGAGTAAACTGCAATTTTACGGCGTAAGTTCAGCAGTTGGATATGGCACCCGTGTCCGTTGAGCGAAACCATCAACGGCGGAAACGATTCATTGAAAAAGAAATGGCTTGGATCATCGGCCTGAGCACTTTCAACAACAGTCCAACTGGCCAAACAGTTGCTCGATCAAATTCCCCACCAGAGCGGGGACTTAGACAATTAACTTGGAACCTCCGACGGCATCGGAAATACATTTTGTCCCCCAAACCTTATCGGGGCGATTGTCCTGACGTACGCCCACAAGCTCAAGTTGAGGATTGGGGTAAAATCTTCAGCCGGTGCTTGTCTAAATTATTCCCCTCTACTTACGTAAAAGAGACTGTCTAAGGCAAATGGAGTCAGTCGATAGCAGTGCCCAACCTCAAAGCAGGTGCTATCAAGGGGAATTAGACTGATTCACGTTGTAACTACACTCATTGCGTCGCTTATTTTGCTTCGCCTCACGAGGACATGTGAAGACGGGACCCAAACACAGTAGGCAGTATGGGAACTCTACAATCATGGTGTCCCTTGACTCCAAGGTTTGTACTCTTTGGCAGCTTGAGATAACTCAGAGGTTAAGGCGCCAGCTTACGGGCTGAAATGTTCCCAGTTTGAAACCAGCCTCAACATTCAGACTGCTCCTGTTTAGGCTTGGGCGATCTGACAGTATCCCAGCCATTGTGTCTCCATCCATTGGCATGACAGCTGAACGACTTAAACCTAACATCTATAACGATGTAAAATAGTGTACACTCTCCTGCTCGATTTCGTCACTAATGAGCGATGGGACGAACTTTGGAGCTTTCCAAGATCCTGGTCATCGAAGTGAGAATGTTATCAAAGTGCAGTATGTAGAAGGTATTGTTCTCATTTCTGGAGAAAGGTGCTAGGCGCAAGCATCACTAGAAATGCTGACCGCCGTCCAGTTCTTCGGTATGTGTTTCACATCCAAAGTATGCGATCACGCTGTGGGATATACAGCCTTCAAACTAAAATTCAAAGAGTGATATCGGAAGTTGTTGACCGTTCAAGACATGCACATGTCATGAAGTTCAAGTTCTTGAGAACAATCTCAGAGTGCTCGGAACGTCCTGAGATCCATGAACTCACGGATTCACGGATTGATACAACCTGAAAGGCACAAGTGAAAAAAGGGTGTAGCACTGCTCTTTATGTTCTCAGCGCGGGGCAGTATGCTCGCCAGCGCGAGGATTCGCATAAATAAATGTCTAATAGTGCTTTAAATTGGGTTCGAGAAGGAGCGTGTACAACCGTCGGAGGAAGGTCATTCCACGCAGCTACTACCCGAAATGAAAAAAAGTTTTGTCTAGTGAATAATGAATGTGTGAGCTTGAAAATTTTCTTACTATGCCCTCGCCGGGTGTTTGCTGGGTCAACGGTAAAAAACCTGTTTGCCAAGCTTTGTTTTGTCTATGTGTGCCCTGAGCTTGAAAATTTTCTTACTATGTCCTCGCCGGGTGTTTGCTGGGTCAACGGTAAAAAACCTGTTTGCCTTGCCTTGTTCAAACAGGGCGTAGGTAAGAATTAGGTCTCCTCGGAGGCGACGGTACTCCAGGGGAAAGAGATCAAGCGTCGCGAGACACGTTTCGTAGTCCACGGACTTGAGGCCGGCAACCATTCTCGTGGCGGCCCGCTGGACACGCTCAATGAGGGTAACGTCTTTCGTACGTCCTGAGTAGACAACTTGGTTGGCGTACTCCAGGAGCGGTCTGACGTAGGCCCCATAGAGCATTTGGAAGTCCATGCGAGTAATACGGGAGAAGGTACGTCGGATCATACGTGTAGTGGGGTAAAAATGTAATACGGGCAAGTGGTAGCAGGAGACGCAGAATTACAGTGTGCAGTGAGGCTTATGCGACTCACTAGTGTTGCAGATGAAGCAGGTTCGAGTATAAAAGTTACTTGGGAAACGAGTTCACGCATACTGAGCAATAATTGACTGATTTGGTGATGAGTACGATTAAAAGCACCGAGCTCTTTACATCTGGCAGAAGGTTCGGCAGATTGCAATCAACGCCTTCCGGTGGTGGCCGGGGACAAATGAAGGTTGATTGTGGTTGTCGGTA